CAGAATTGATTATATAAGCATCAAAAATTGGCGCCTCTATGTATAGATTGGATGTCTTTTACTGTCCCGTACTGTATAAAAAAAAAACTATAATATCGTGACAAAATATATATAAAAAAAAAAATCTATAAAATCACAACAATATTATGACAACACCTAAAGTGATGAAGGTTCTGAAATAACAGCATCATTAGCATAGAATTTTAGAAAGTGTATTAGCTAATGCTTTTTTTCTTCTGATCCAAGATTATTACATTCAAGATTCAACCAGAACGACAAACCTATAATGCAGAATCTCCATAAACTACAGAATCAAATGGCTAAAGAAACTGCAACACCAAACAAGAAAGCTAAAATTACAGCACTGAACGATGAAAACCAGAGTTTACAGACTCTATAAACAACAGCACTGAAATGATAAAAGCCTCAAAACTACAGTACTGAATGATAAAAGCTCCAAAACTACAGCACCAAATGACAAAAGCCCCAAACTACAGCACCAAATGATGAAAGCTAAAAATTTCTATACTCTTTAAATGACAAACCAAATGATAAAAGCCTAGAACTATCCCAAATATTATCTTCAATACTTAGTTTTCTACTGAAGCAAACCTACAAAAAAAAGAAAGTGTTAGTTCAAAGAAAGAAAAGCAAAAAAAAAAAACAACAAAAAAAAAATGTATCTTGCAAAAATCCTGATTCTAATTTCTACTGTCTGGCCTTCTAGGGACAAATCTATAGAAAGTTAGTATTAGTTCAAAGAAGAAAAAAAAAAAAAAGAAACCACTTATTCCACGACCCAAATATTTAATAACGGCTCTAGCTACAATTCTAACAACAAAACTATATCTTAAAAAAAAAAAAGATCTGAAGTGAAAAAGAAGAAAGGAAACAAAAGGAATAAAAAGCAAAGAAAAGAAATAGGCAAAAAAGGAACAAAAAAAAATCAGATAGAAAACAAAATATAAAAAAAAAAAATTGAAAGAAATGAAAATGAACAAGAAATGAAAAGAAAAAAGAAATGAAAAAGAAAAAGAAATGAAAATAAAAAATCTCCCTCCTGAAACAAAAAGAAAAAGAAATGAAAAGAAAAAAATGAAGGGAAAAGAAAGAAAAAAGACAAAAGGAATAAAAAATAAAGAAAAAAAAAGAAATAAGAAGAAGAAACAAAAAAAAAGAAACAAATGAAAAAAAAATTTGCAAAAAAGAAAAAAAAGTATAAAAAAAAGAAATGAGAAGAAGAAGAAACAAAAAAAAAGAAGCAAATGAAAAAAAAATTTGCAAAAAAGAAAAAAAAGTATAAAAAAAAGTGTATGAAAAAAAAGGGTGAAAGAAAAAAACTAATAAAAAAAAGAAAATTACTACAAATCACTACTGGTGATCATCACCAGTGATTTACAAAATATAATTAGGTGTAATATATAAACTTATTAAACAAAAGTTTATTTGTTTTGATATTAGGGTAAGGATAATGGTTTGATAATAAAGTTAAACAAAAACCTATAGTAAAATTTTGAAAGAAATTTTTTTTGTTAGAGCTAAAAGATGGTTTCATAGACAAAATTTTAAGATATGATTGATTTTTTAAAACATTCTTTGTTTTTATTACACAAAACTGATCTGCATGTTACATCTGATCTTGCAAATTGATTGCCTAATTATGTACTGGTGATGATTACTAGTGGTGATAAATAGCAAACTTCTAAAAAAAAAGAGAAAAGCAAGCAAAACAGCAAAGAAAGCAAAGTGGCAAGAAAGAAAAGCAAAGCAAAACAGCAAAGAAAGCAAAGCAGCAAGAAAAGCAAAGCAAAGCAGCAAAGAAAAGCAAAAAATCAAAGAAAAAACAAAGCAGCAGAAAAGCAAATCAGCAAAAAAGCAAAGCAGCAAAAAAACAAAGAGTCAAAAAAAAGCAAAACAGCAAATATTAAATGAAAGTTAAAATGAAAAAAAACAAAACCAGAAAGCACAGATTATCAATTGTTTATATATGAACAGCAATCATAAAAATGATTGGCTAATCATATAAGAGTCACATGGTAACAGGTTATCAATTTATTTTTGTCTTTAAATAAAATAATAATTTTTTTTTTTTTTTTTTTTTTTTTATAAAGTGAGGTCTTGCCTCAATTTTTATTAATAAAGTTATATGATTATATTAACAAAGAAAGGTGTGACATATACTCTAAAGCTAAAACTAAGACTTGAGCTAATTTAGCTATGACTCAAACTTTATTAAGAGAGGCCAAAGCCTTGCCTAGATTATGATTGTGAAAGTCTTTTTGGAGATGCATTATTTTGAATAAATGACTTGAACCATATTATGACTTTTCTTTTCAAAATTTCTTCAATATTTGTTTTTTGTTCACATATTCTTGTATTCAAGTTGCTTGTGATAGTTGATAGGTTTTGTGATATTGTGGTTGTTGTATTGTGGTTCACTATGTTTTGGCATCTTGGTATCCAGATGTCTTTATGGATTGCTTTATTAATTTTGTATAGAATCAGTGTAGTAGGTGTATATTTTCCTTGGGCTGCTTTGAGTAGTTGGTTGATTGTAGTTGTTTGGGCTTCTAGAATAATTTCTAGTAGGATATCCAGAGGGTAATGTATAGCTAAATTTGATATTTGGAGTATATTAGCTAGTTGGTTCTCTGTTGCTTTGTGGGCTTGTGCTTTGAAACAGATTTTTTGTAATTGTCTGTTGAATAATCTGAGCAGCTGATGTAGTATTTGCGGAGCAAAAGATCCAGTGTGTATTAGTTTTGGTTGTAGTTGCACATCTTGGGTAGTTTGGGCTAGAGTATTTTTTGGAGTTGCATGTAGAGTGTTGGGAGTTTGGCTAATAGTAATTTAATTTTGAAGGCCTTGATCTAAGATTGTTTAGGATGAGTGAATCTAGTTGTTGGTTTGTCGCAAAAGTTAATAAAGTTGTGCATTGTGTTCTATGATATTAGTGCTTGTAGGTATTCCATCTTTCCATTCTGTTTTGTAAGTGCCATCTGACTATATATTATGTGTTTTGGATATATCGAATAAAAAACAAGATGTATACATAATACAGGCTTGTTGCCAGTGTGCTATATATATGTTTTGTCAGATGTGAGTGTGTAGAATATTGAAGCTGACTGTATTTGTATCAGATTGAGTATAGATAGAAATATGGTCTATAAAAGCCATACTAATAATAAGGTCTTTTTTGCGACAAATGCTTTAAATATAAGCCAGTTAGCCTATAAGTGAGTAGAGAGGATAAGATTAGTGTTGTAAGCTGATATGTTGAGTATGTAGTTGGTAAGCTATATGAACTTTAAGTCATCTGTGTAAATTGTAAAGTTGAAGTTAGCATTTGCTATTAGTGCTATGCTAGATAGAGTATCTATTCAGGTTTTGTTTTTAGAAGGCCAGGTTGGAGTGGTCTAATGAAGTTTAATATTTGTTTTAGATGTATGTCAGGTTGTGATATATGTAATTTTATCAGCAGTGTTAATGCTATGATAGGTAAATATTATAATCATTATGCTTATCTTTGGAATCTGTTAGTATATTTGCCAGAGAACTTGGTCAGCTTTAGGATATATTGAGTTACTGATGTCTTCATATATTGCTAATTCTCTCTAGTTGGCTATAGGTTTGTTAGGTAGAGCTCTTGGTATAGTAGAATCTTTGGCTTTGATAGAATGATTGTAGTTTGTAATATTAGTAAAGTTGTATCAGATTCTGTGTTTGCAATCAACTTGTATAGTGATTAGCTGGTTAAATGGTCTCATTTTTTCTTCTGTAGTTTTGGATCATTGATTTTGCAGCCAGTGCAAAGCTTTAGCATATAGGTAGTAAGGTTAAGCTCCCAGTAATGTATTATTGCTTTGTTTTGTGCTATTGATGTTACTTTCTCCATTGTGAGTTGTGTTGGCTCAAAAACCTATGATTGTTTTTTAGCTACTACTGTTTGTAATGTGTAAGGGTTAAGTTTAGTTAGAGTGATGCTATCTGTTTTAATTCTTTCTTTAATGATGTTATTTAGTTTGGCAAACCATTTTGGTTCTTTGTCACAAGGAATCTTTTGTATCGATTGTGGAAGATGAAACTATGAGGTTGTATCTGTTTGTGTATTGTTTATAAGTTGTTCTATTGTATATAACTCTAGTAGATTTAGGCTTTTTTTTGTTTAGTATAGGCCTTTAAGATGGTGTAAGATAGTATTAACTGAATGTTCTGGGTTTGACAGTGGTATTGGCCAGTTGTTACTAAGGTTGTCTAATGTTATTTGTGTTTTTTGTAGACTTTTTAGCATCTGTGCTGAAGGTGAAAGATGTTTAGGTTGGGCTATTATGTAGTTGTAGTGCTGAAAGATAGATTTTGTAGTTGCTGCTGCGTGTTATAGTTGCTAGAGTCTGATTTTGAAGATAGACTTATTAAATCCTGGGTGGTGAAGCTGCTAGAGGATAAGAGAGATATACTGTTGTATTTGGATATCTTTAATAGTTTTTAGAGCATATATAGTGTTATGGAAAAAAGTTGAGTTGAGAATTGATTCAGCGAGATCTGCTTTGTGTTTAACTATATTTGTATACTTGTTTATTATCGTAGAGCAAAAAGCAGAAGACAGTGCAGTATTTTGGACTCTGTAGCTAATTCTGAATAGGATTACAGTGTTGATAATATATATTGTTTGTTTGTTAGTGATTTTGGCTTTTTTAATTTTTGTGAGTGCATTTGTTGTTTCTGTAATAATGATGTTATATATTGGTGTTGGCTTTTTTATATGGAGTACCAGCAAACTAGGAATCTAAAAGCTTGTTTGTGTTTTATGCTCTCTATAGTAGATTCATTAAATGTGATACTAGGAGTGTTAGTGGGGTTTAGTGTGGCTAGTACTGATTTGTTCAGATTTACTTGTATATTGGTGAAGCTGTAGAAGGTTGTTGTGGTATTGAGAATTGCTTCCAGTTGTTGTTTAGATGGTGTGATCTATGTTGTGTCATTTATGTAGGCCAGGACTGGATGGTTAGCTTCTGTTTTGTAGATTCTGTTGTTTGTCATAATGGTGATGTGTATAGTATAGCCTGTGTATTCTCTTGTGATTTTTGTTAGCAGTAGGTCATAATATATATGCCAAAGCAGAAGTGTTATAGTTTTGCCTTGGTCGATCCTGTTATGTACTGGGTAGGGCTCTGTAGTACTATGATTAGTTATTACTATGTTGGGTCTGTTAGTAAATATGTTTATGATAAGGTTTGTAATAGTTTGTTATATCTTGATTCTGAGTAGTGCTTCCTTTAGTAGTGAAATATGGATGGAATCATATGCCTTTAACATGTTCTAAGATTGGACCCAAAGTTCTTTTGAGTATATATTAGTCTCTTCGATTAGATGTGTTAGAGTTGTGATTGATAGCATTGTAGATGTATTAGATAATGCAACATAATTGTTAGTATTAAGGATTGGGTAGCGAAAGAGTGTTTTGTTAAGCTATTTGTGATTATCTTTATAAAGATTTTTCTTGAGTGTTTTATGAGTGTAATAGGTCTAGTGTGCTCTAGGTGTTCAGTAAAAGTTTATTTTTATAATATTGGATATATGCAGCTGTTTTTTTATAAAGCTGGTATTTGTTGTAGCTGCAGACAGGTATTGTATATATTGAGTAATATTGTGAGCATGGTGTTGTCTAGATGCTTTAATATTTTATTAGAAATGTTTTGTGGACTAGTAGCTTTGTTGGTGGTGCTTCCTTTATAACTATATTAAGCTCTTCTGTTGATATTATATCTGAAAAATTCTTGTATCAAGAGGTTTGTATTTTAGGTATTGGTTTATTCTTTTGTTGTCATGTGTTCAGAGGAAGGCATTTGTAGGATTAGATTTAGTCTATACTTCATAGTGAGTTTGTATATGGTTTCTGATCTAAGAAGTTTCTGTAATAATATTAGTTGGGGTACATATATTATGAAGGATTACTAGATCTGAATGTCTTTTCAATATACTATTGATCATCTTAGACATGTATTTGGCTAAGTTATCATTTTTATTTTGGATGTGCTGGTTTATAGCTTGTGTATAAGCAATATTATTTTCAAGTTTTCTTGCATAATATATTAATTTTTGTATAGCTTTAAGTTTGTCTATTGTTGTATTAATATTATCTACAGCTAAATCCTTGGCTGCTATCAGGATGAGTGCCACTTTGCTGT